CCCCAACGGCCCCCCAACGGCTCCCCAACGGCTGCCCAGACCCCCCTGTGGAGTAATGTGCTGCTCTCTTTTTACACCACTAGAAACCTACCAGTCTTCGATGTTAGGTAAAAACAGAGTGAGGAGGAGGATGAGGAGTATTTTGTGGAGGATGGGGGAAGGCAAGACGATGCGGAGAAGGGAGGAGGAGCAGGAGGAAGAGCAGGAGGAGGAGGAGGAGGAGGAGGAGGAGGAGGAGGAGGAGGAGGAGGAGGCGCGAGGAGACGCGGAGGAACAGGAAAGACTTGGTACTCCTGGCGGGGACTGGAAGACGAAGCGCCCGCATCAGCGGCAGCAGCCTCGGCAGGAGGAGCCAACGGGTCTGCTGGGACGGGTGCGGCAGCGAGGGGGCGTGCTCGTCGGAGGAGGGCCGGTCGAGACCACGGCGGCCGGCCCCAGCCCCTGTCGTCTTCTCCTGGGCCTCCCATGGGGGGCCTCTCGGCGCCCCGGCCGGATCCGCCCCGGACGTGTCAGGCTGCACCTCGGGAGGGGTCCAGGCATGATTTGGGCGGGGCGGGGGGGCCGCCGATGGCTCGATTGGCCCCCCTGCGAGATCCTGAGCGGCTCCATCTCGCCGCCGCCGATCGCATCGCGGATCGCGTCGGCGCTGCGGCGCCATGCTCCGAGGCCACCCTGCTCTTGCCTCACTTGGGAGGCTCGCACAGGCCTCCCTTCGGGGGCGGCCAGGAGGGAGGGGGTGACTGGGGCCGGGGGGGGGCCGTTGTTCCCCGGATTCTTGGCCCCCCTTCTGTGTTTTCAGTGCGTTCCTGGGCCCCCCCCCCTCCCCCGCCCCCCGAGGCACGGCCTCCGCCGCGCGACCTGCCCGCCCGGCAGGCCTTCGGCCGCCCCGCCCTGTGGCCGCCCCCTCCCCCTCCCCCCCGCCTCAGTCCTGTGCCTCCTCCTCCCCATCCCGCCTCCTTCCTCGGCTGGCTCCTCCCCCCCCTCACTGGCCCCGTGCCTCGCGCCTCTCCCTGGTGTGCGTGTTGTCCCCGCGGCCGCGCACGCGCTTCGGGCCATGATTTGCGCCCTTCCCCCCCACCCCCCCGGACGCCCCCGATGCCTGGGCCGGTCCCAGCAAGCAGGGGCCAGGGTGGCAGCACGGAGTCGCAGGGCCGCGCCTTCGTCGCAGGTGCAGTTGCGATGGGGCGCGGTCGGGAGCACGATGGGTTTTGTCGAGGAGGAGGAGGAGGAGGAGCGCGATGGGTTCTGTCGAGGAGGAGCAGGAGGAGGAGGAGGAGGAGGAGGAGGAGGAGGAGGAGGAGGAGGAGGGAGGAGGAGGAGGGGGAGGGGGCGGGGGAGGGGGAGGGGGAAAAGGACAAGCTGGGTGCGCCCGCGTCAGATCTGACGTCCTACCCGTCCCTCCCATCCCTTGCCATGGCGCAGATATCCTCTATATTCGCCCAGTCGGATGTCGAGCAGGGTAATGAGATCGCGAGAGGGTACGCGATGCACGGTAGAGCACGGCATGGCATGGCGTAGACGAGCACGGCAGCGCGTAGCATGCCATAGCACGGCGTGGCATTGCGCAGTGAAGCATGGCATCACAAAGCATTGCAACGCAAAGCACGGCATCGCACAGCGGAGCAGAACACAACACCGCACAGCATGTCATGGCCTGGCGCCAGGTTCCTTGGAGGGTAAGTGGATAGTTTTCGAGAGGCTTGGGCCAGTCTTGAGTCGTGGCGCCATGTCTAGCTCCTTGGGCTCCCCGACAAGCTCCACACAAAGCGGGGCTGTTGGAGAGCACCCGCTGGCTCTGCTTCCACCATCGCCTTCTCAAAGCAGAAGCAGGGCTCCGGCTTGGTACAATAGTTCCTGCAAACGACGATGCCCCTAAGTGGGGGGCTTCTGCGGCAACAAAAAAATGATCCCGGCAAAGCAACCTAACAGCGATGTGTAGGAGCATATCTGGAAGCATCCCCCTTAAGATTCAGATGAGTATCCAGTTGTAGAGTTCTGCTGTTCTCGCAGTCGTAGTCGCATTCGCGATGACAGTCGCAGTGGCCTGCATTAGCCTCAGCCTCAGCCTCAGCCTGCCTCAGCATCAGCCTCAGCCTCAGCTTCAGCCTGCCTCAGCCTCAGCCTCAGCCTGCTCCTGCATCAGCCTCAGTCTGCCTGCAGCCTCGGCCTCAGCCTCAGCCTGCCTCAGCCTGAGCCTGCCTCAGCCTCAGCCTCAGCCTCAGCCTGCCTCAGCATCAGCCTGCCTCAGCCTCAGCCTCAGCCTGCCTCAGCCTCAGCCTCAGCCTGCTTCAGCCTCAGCCTCAGTCTGCCTTCAGCCTCGGCCTCAGCCTCAGCCTGCCTCAGCCTCAGCCTGCATCAGCCTCAGCCTCAGCCTCAGCCTGCCTCAGCCTCAGCCTCAGCCTCAGCCTCAGCCTCAGCCTCAGCCTGCCTCAGCCTCGGCCTCGGCCTCGGCCTCAGCCTCAGCCTGCATGAGCCTCAGCCTCAGCCTCAGCCTGGCTCAGCATCAGCCTGCCTCAGCCTTCAGCCTCAGCCTGCCTCAGCCTCAGCCTCAGCCTGCTTCAGCCTCAGCCTCAGTCTGCCTTCAGCCTCGGCCTCAGCCTCAGGCTGCCTCAGCCTCAGGCCAGCATCAGCCTCAAGCCTCAGCCTGCCTCAGCATCAGCCTGCCTCAGCCGCCAGCCTCAGCCTGCCTCTGCCTCAGCCTCAGCCTCAATCTGCCTTCAGCCTCGGCTTCAGTCTCAGCCTGCCTCTGCCTCAGCCTGCATCAGCCCCCAGCCCTCAGCCTCAGCCTCAGCCTCAGCCTGCCCTCAGCCTCAGCCTCAGCCTCGGCCTGCCTCAGCCTCAGCCTCAGCCTGCTTCAGCCTCAGCCTCAGTCTGCCTTCAGCCTCGGCCTCGCCTCAGCCTGCCTCAGCCTCAGCCTGCATCAGCCTCAGCCTCAGCCTGGCTCAGCATCAGCCTGCCTCAGCCTCAGCCTCAGCCTGCCTCAGCCTCAGCCTCAGCCTGCTTCAGCCTCAGCCTCAGTCTGCCTTCAGCCTCGGCCTCAGCCTCAGCCTGCCTCAGCCTCATCCTGCATCAGCCTCAGCCTCAGCCTCAGCCTGCCTCAGCCTCAGCCTGCATCAGCCTCAGCCTGCTTCAGCCTCAGCCTGCATCAGCCTCAGCCTGAGTCTGCCTTCAGCTTCGGCCTCAGCCTCAGCCTGCCTCAGCCTGCCTCAGCCTCAGCATCAGCCTGCCTCAGCATTCAAAATGTGGCCAGGGAATGGAATTCTGGGAACTCGAAGAACACGAAGTGGCCTACAGTTTGCTCCGGGCATTCAAAATCATACCCAGGAATGGAGTTCTGGGAAGTCCAAGAGCACGAAGTGGCCTACAGTTGGCTCCGGGCATCCAAAATGTGGCCCGGGAATGGAGTTCTGGGAACTCGAAGACCACGAAGTGGCCTACAGTTGGCTCCGGGCATCCAAAATGTGGCCCGGGAATGGAGTTCTGGGAACTCGAAGACCACGAAGTGGCCTACAGTTGGCTCCGGGCATCCAAAATGTTCGCCGGGAATGGAGTTCTGGGAACTCGAAGACCACGAAGTGGCCTACAGTTGGCTCCGGGCATTCAGAATGTGGCCCGGGAATGGAGTTTTGGGAGGTCGAAGAATGGAGTTCTGGGAGGTCGAAGAGCACGAAGTGTGTGACTGTTTGCGAAAAACGAGGTTCCCCGGCAATCCCCAACGGCCCCCCAACGGCCCCCCAACGGCTCCCCAACGGCTGCCCAGACCACCCTGTGGAGTAATGTGTTGCTCTCTTTTAAGACCACTAGAAACCTATCAGTCTTCGCTGTTAGGTAACAATCGACACCGAATATGTAATCGATTCCGATGTTTTTTTTCCGGGGGTGGTATTTGTTAGATTTTGGGGCCGATTTGGAAGGATAGAAACGCTCGCGTTGCAGCGGGAGCACGATTTGGAAAAACCAGAGGCGCAGAAATGGGGCCAACGCTTCAGCGGGAGCAGCATTTTGAACACACATCTAAGCGACAACCCATTTCCCGGGAATCCTGTGTGTAAAAAGCGATATTCGAGGGGGGGCGGATATCTTCTGGACGTCATCAGGGGAGAGAGAAGAGTGGTATTCATATTGTGCAATTGATGTGGAGGAGGAGGAGGAGGAGGAGGAGGAGGAGGAGGAAGAGGAGGAGGAAGAAGAGGACGAGGAGGAGGAGGAGGAGGAGGAGGAGGGGGAGGAGAGCGAGGAGCAGGAGGAGGAGGAGGAGAAGGAGGCCCCCCCGGCGTCGCCGATCTCATCGGTGCGGGAGGGACTGCGGCCGCGTTCACACGAGAACGGCCTCCGTGCACCGTACCATGTTTGGACTCTCTGCAGGCCCCGCTCCAACGTGGTAAGGTGCACAGTGTTGTCTCGGCCTTGGGGGCCGAAGAACTATGTGCACCGTACCTCTCCCGGGTCGAGGGTCGACGACGCTTCGGGAGAGGCCAGCGCGTTACGGTGCACGAGTCGTCTGCGGGGTTCCACCCCCCTCCTCCTCCTCCTCCTCCTCCTCCTCCTCCTCCTCCTCCTCCTCCTCCTCCTCCTCCCCCTCCTCCTCCTCCTCCCCCTCCCTCACCATGATCCAGGCCTCCCGAATGGGGCCCGAGTAGATGTTGTCACAGGATCGCGCCGCGTCGCCGATGCGGGTCGATTTGGAGCCCGATTCTCTCTCCAAGCCGATTGCGCCGATGCGTTCCCGATGTCGCTGATGCTTCGGCGATGCATCTGCGATCACCCGTTTCCCTCTCCAGACCTTGTCGTCTTGTTTTTGTTCTCCTAATTTAAGCGCTCGGAGGTCTAGACCCACTTCTCCGGGACCCGTTTTTTGTTGTGGGTCATGTCTTGGTTGCCGAAAAATGCCAGGACCCACACACCGTGAATTCGTCGCACCGCCAGGAGGCCTGGTTCCTCCGGGGCCCGCTTCCTTCGTGCCACTCCGCCACCCGTTGTTGCCCTCGTGCCTCTGGCAGGTGATCGGGCCTGCGGAGGTGCGGGCCTTCGACGTGCCCTGCCAGCAGCCCGAGCCTGTGGGTGCGCGCCTCGGCGCCGCTCGCCTCCCTCGTGGCCTGCCTCCTCCCGCCATCTGGTCCCCCTGCAGGCGTGGATCGACCTCCTCGCCTGGGCCCTGCCTGCCTGCCTGCCTCTCTCTCTCTCTCTCTCGCTTTCCCGCTTGTGTGTACTCAGAGCGCATGCCTGTATCCGAGGCTATGCCTCCTCTCGGCCTCGCTCCGTGGCTCCGCCGCTTCCTCCCTCCTCTTCTCTGCCCAATTCAAGCTTCGCGCGGCCCGCTCAGCTTCGACCGGAAGAGGCGCGCTCTCGACCCGCGGATCGAAGAAGTGTGCTCAGAGCGCATGCAGGTGGCCATCGTCAGACGAGAGCGGTGTGTGCCCCTTCCGACGTTGAGCGAGCGAGCATCTCTTCCCCTGCCGCGGCAGTGGCCGGCTCCTTATCCCAGGCGAGGTGCCACGCCCCTCGTCTCCGCACCCGCCCAGGCCAGGGGCGCTCGCCCGCAGGCCTGCCTCCACAGTCGAGCACGCGGGCCCCAGCCACACGGGCATTCGATCGGTCGATCTTTTGGTCCCCTCCTCCTCTCTCGTGTTCCCTTGGCATCGCTCGGACGTGTGCATTTTTTCCTTCGGCGAGGACCATCGAGGAGCATCCTTGATCATCTGGCGAAACAAAAAACCGCGCACGAAACCCAAAAAAACACAGGGAATGGACGTCCGAGCGATGGCGAGGTTCCAGCAATGCAGGAAGGTTCAGACCCGGCTTGTGTCGCGGATGCTCTGGGGAGGGGCTGTGCTCAGGGGAGGTTCTGGCACCGCTCGGCGATGTGCTGCCGACAGACCTGCAGGCTGGGCCCTTGCCATTCTGCTGTGGAGATTCAGCTTTGGCTCCGGCTCCAGCTGTGGGTGCACCGCGAAGCGCCCTCGGGCCAGCTCACCCGACCCGGCTTTCCGTTCGCACGGGTGCCTCTTTCGCACGGCCTGATGCTGTTCCCCCGTCATTGTTCCCCAGCGTGCCAGGCGGCCTGCAGTCCCAGGCCGTGGGTCCCTTCGGGCGGTGGTTCTGATGGGAAACCGCCGAAGAAGGGCACAGCTGCATCGACATAATTGGCAGGGAGCTCGGCGCAGATTTCATGGATCGGCGCTGGGTCCCCGTGGCGGCGCCTCCAGCGCCGATCCCGGAAGTCGGCGCGGAGCTCCGAACAAGTCGTGTTGGCATACAGTGCAGTTTTTAATACATGCTCCGCGTGCGGATCATGTTTAAACAATGTGGGGATTTAGTATTGAAAACAACGAACGCGTTCATGCATAAATTTATTCATAAATGAATCATGTATTAAAGATCATATAGTTTAAAAAAAAACATGTATTAAAAACTGCCCTGTATTTTATTTCGGAACGATTTCAGAACAGCAGCACACATCAGTCGCGTGACCTCGGTGCCAGCGGAGGTGCAGGCCCGCGGCGTGCATTGCGAGCAGCCCGAGCCTGGCAGCGCGCGCGGCGGCGACCGCGGGCCCGGGGATGTTGCCGTCGCGCCCAAGGCGTACGCACGGATTTGAGGCACAGTTGTTATCCCTGGCATGTGCACTCTTGTCTTGGGCTCGAAGAAAAAGAAGAAGAAGATGATGACGAGGAAGAGTAAGAAAAAACGGCATAACCGTAAACGTTCGGCGCTCCGCGTGGATGTCTTGGATCGGTGCTGGACTCCCCTTCCTAGCGCGCGGAGCGCGCCAGGGGCGGCGCTGGAGGATGCACCGCGCGGGCCGCATCCAGGCGATTGCGTATCCACAGGATCGCCTGGAATCCAGGCCGCGAGGATGTAGATGTGGATGCGTTCGCCGCTTGCGAAATCCTGCTCGGCCTAAGGCGAGGAGGCCCGCGCTCGTATACTGCAGCGTTACGTCGTGGGGAGCCCGCAGACTGTGCAGCTGATGGGCGTGGTAGGCTCGAGCAAGAGCGCGAAGACCTTGCGGAGGCAGCTGATCGCCAGGCTTAGCGGGACTGCCCTGAACCCTCCATTTCTGTGTCGGTCGATCGGTCCAATCGAGCTACCTTTTTCGGTCCTTCTGGTAGGTTTCTGGAAGTTGTGCTGCCTCGGATTGTGTTCTTTCAGCTGCGTCTCGCCGAGGTCGTTCTGGGGGTGCCCGGATCGTCCCGAACGGCCGCCAGAGATTGAAGTTATGATCAGAAAATCAAGGTCAGGGTCCATTCCGATCCGATCGATCCGATTCGGTATCGAGCCCGTCCAATTCGATGCGATTCGACGATCCCAGCGGTCCTGTGCGGCAGTGGCATGTGTTCGAAGGAGGGAAAGAGCGCGTTCTATGGTCGCGTGAAGAGGGGGGGGTTGGAACCAGACCCCCCCCCCCTGGATGGACGGGGGGAGTTCGAACCCCTCCCCCCCCATTCCGTGACGGATGGGGGGGAGGGGTTCGAACATCCCCCCCCCTCCCCATATTTCTCCTCTCTCCCTCTCCTCGGGACGGCGCCGGCGGCGGCTGGCGGCGGCGGCGGGGGTGCTGGTGGTGGTGGTAGTGGCGGTGGTGGTGGTGGTGGTGGTGAGGTGGCTTATGGTGGTGGTGGTGGTGGTGGTGGTGGTGGTGGTGGTGGTTGTGGTGGTGGTTGTGCTGAAGGTAGTAATGGTGGTGGTTGTGGCGGTGGTGGTGGTGGTGTGGTAGATTGTGGTGATGGTGGCTGTAGTGGTGGTGGGTTGTTGTATTGGTGGTGGTGGTGAGATGTTGTGGTGGTGGTTGTGGCGGTGATGGTGGTGTGGTAGATTGTGGTGATGGTGGCTGTATTGGTGATGGGTTGTTGTATTGGTGGTGGTGGTGAGCTGTTGTGGTGGTGGTGGTGGCTGTGGTGGTGGCGGTTGTGTGGTGGTTTGGTGGTGGTGGTGGTGGTGGTGGTGGTGGAGGGCTCCGGTGGTGATGGTGGTGGTGGTGGCGGTGGTGTTGGTGGCGTGGTGGTTTGTTGTGGTGATGGTGGTGGTGGTGGTGGGCTGTGGTGTTGGCGGTGGTGCTGCTGCTGGTAGTGGTGCTGGTGGTGGTGGTGGGTGGTGGGTGGTGGGTGGGTGGTGGGTGGTGGGTGATGGCTTGTGGTGGTGGTGGTTGTGGTGGTGGTGTGGTGGATTGTGGTGGTGGTGTTTGTGGTGGGTTGTGGTGATGGTGGTGCTTGTGGTGGTGGTTATGGTGGTGGCGGTGGTGGTGATGGTGGTGGTTGTGGTGGTGTGGCTTCGGCTCTTCGCGCCACTGTGTTTTGGCAAAGGGTCAGAGTTTGAATGGATGCCTCCTGAGGTCTCGTCAGAAGGGTTTCGGGGCGTCTGAGGAGCATGCGATGGCTCGATATGGCGATTTGTGTGTTCCCTCTGCGGCCTCTGGGCCCTATCTCGTCATCGTCGCTGCGTCCCCGCCGTCGGCGCTGCTGGCCGCCGCCAGCGCCGGCGCCGGCGCGGAGGGGGGGACCCCCCCCCCCTCCTGGGCCCTCTCTGGTCATCGTCGCTGCGTTGGCGCTGCGGCTGCCGCCAGCGCCAGCGCGGGGTGTGTGGGGGGGAGGGGGGGGGGTTCGAGAGGGGAGGGGGTTAGGGGGGAGGGGAGTCCCCCTGGTTCTGATCGACGGCGCCGGGTGTTGGGGGGGCCCGATCCCCGGTTCGAAACGCACCGCCGAATGTTCCCAAGGCGAGCGCCCGTGAAACGCGCTCTCTCGAACGAGGAAAAATACATAACATAAATGTTCAGAGAGGTTGACGTCCAGAGCCCCCGGCGTGCGGAGCACGCCAGGGAGTGGAGCGCAGGACCAATCCGAGAAATCCGCGCGGACCTCTGAAAACGACTGTTTACAGATATGTTTCCTCTTCTAGTTGTTCGTCCTTCTCCTCGTCCTCCTCCGTGGCGGCCAAGGAGGAGAAGAGCACGACGACGAGGACGAGGACGAGGAGCAGGAAGAGCTCCTTCTCCTTCTAACTGCTCTGGGCCCCTGCCCCCGCCGCCCATCGATCTAATCAGCGGGGTTCCCTGGTTGGGGTTCGCTTCGCTAATACCGCTCCCACTTCCTGAGCCCCCACGGGCTTCCTGGGTTTGCAGCGGCGGGGGTTCACGTGCTGCTTCCTTCGGCTGCGCGCCGCTTCGCCAGTGCCGCTCACGTGCGCCACTATCGCGCGCCCCCCCGAGGCCACGATCCCTCGTGAATTGCGCCGCATTCGCGCCACGATCCGTGCAAATTTCACCACAGGCCCCCGAGGCCACGACCCCGCGGGCTTTTTTTTTGTCCCAAAAATCCCAGGGAGTTCCATTTCCTTGCCCTTTTTTGGTTTTTGTTGTCCCAAAAATATGTGTTTTTCTTTTTTTTTGTCGAAACGTTCGAAGCTCTCTCCGAAGCCCCGCCGCCGTCCGAGCCCCATTCCCCCCCATGCCCAAGAGTTGGGCCAGCAGGGGCAGTGGTCCAGGCGTGGCTTCCTACATTCAGGAGAGCAAAAAAACACACACAGACACAATGAATCGTCGACTCCCAGGAAACATAGGAACATATGGGAAGTGGGGGGGAAGACAAAAACCCAGAAGATTGTGAAAGTATGGGGAATCCGTTTATTTGTGTCTATTTGTTTGTGTGTCTCAGGGCCCCTTCATACATCACGGGGGAAAAACACCCGGACCAGACAGTTGGCGTTCACTAAACGGCCTTGGGCGCTTACTGAATAGCCCTGCCCTGTTCGATTCCTGGCGCGTTTACTAAAGGCCTCGCGTGTCGGGGTGGTTATGATCGGGCTGGACTGTCTGCCCTCCTACTACAGGCGCCGGGATGACGTGAACGTCCTGGTCTTCGGGGAGCCAGGGCTCTGCAAGGACAGATTTGCCTACCTGGTCCCCAGGGAGCGATCAGCCAAACGGCGCGCCCTTCCTCTTCGTCGCCCCATGGGTACACCGCGGCACGCCAAAGAGCGCCCACCAACGGGCCGATCCCGCCCC